TTACCAGAGAACTACTAAGAAACCAACTGCTTTTTAAATCCTGTTGTGTAGTTCAAGTGTCTTGCCTTGACCAACCTAATGAGTTGATTAACTGGGCCTTTATACTTAACTAAATAAAAAACTAAGCAGATGTGAGTTAAATAAAAAAGTTTCAATTTATTGCTCATTGTACCTGTTAACATTATATTTAACAGTTGTCTGCCTAAATTTTTTTGGTTTGACTTACAGATAATTTCACAAGACACAGTTTTGTTGTTTTTATTGCTAATGGTGCATGTGCTTGCTAGAGGAAAGAGAAGGAAGAAAGCAACCCCCAATGTTGCATGGTCTCCCTACAATCCCTTCTCCATATCTCCATCCTGTCAGGGTTTGGTGCACACACACACACACACACACACACACATACGTCTGGCATGTTTTTAAAGCTGCTAGGACTAGAATTTGAACTGCGGTTGGCCATGTGGGGATCCAGCTCCCTTAACCACTAGGCTATGGTGGAATCCACCAAAGAGACATACTTTTGATTCACACACAAATAATAGGTTCATTTGCCATTTAATAAAATAATAATTTGTGAGAGGGCGTGTGTTTGCTGGAGAGAGAGAAAGGTAAAATAAGAAAGCACTCTCGTGGGGGATGGCCAAACTGTCATCTTTTCTCCTCTATTTCTCCTTTCAGGGTTTTGGACATGCATGCACACATGCCTGGTACATTTCCCAAGCTGCCAGATTTGGGGCTCAAACCACACAGTTGGCCATGTGGGGTCCAGCTTCCTTAACCATACCACCACCCACTGGCCCTTATTACTATTTTCTTGATAATTGAAATTCATTTCACTAAAGAAAGTTCAGTTGAATTTTACAGCATTGACACTTGGCAAATAGAAATCATGTAATCTAATTACTTAATTTGAATGACACGTGAGGGGGATCTACAAAAAAATCATGGAGGGACCAATAGATGGTGTAATGGTTGTACCGCTGGACTCTGACATAGTTGACAGCAGTTTGAGTCCCAGACCCGGCAGCTTAAAACTCCCAAGTTCATGTGCATATGTGCCCAAACTCCTGAGAGAAGGGATTGTGGCGTGGCTGTCCCCTCTGGGGGTTGATTTCTTGCTTTCTCTCTCTGTCTGTCTCTGGTGAGCACATGCTCTCTATAGCAAAAATCTCTTTCTCAAAAAAAAATGAAATTTAAAAAATAAATTCATGGAAAATATGCGTTATGAAACTATGTGTAGAGTTCAACTTTATTTTTTAGCATCAAAATAAACTGGTACTTTAACTCCATTTTTTCATAGACTTTTTGAAGTTCTCTTATATATGGGAATTGTATTTTATTGAAAACATTGAAACATTTTTACATTTGATTTTTTAAATATCATTCCAGAGTTCTAAAAACGCAGTTTAAAAAGCATTAAAAATAGGACCATAATATAGAAAAGTAGTTAAAAAGCAGCGGTCATGTAACATACTTCAGCCTCTTACTTAGGAGTAAAAATGAGAGCTAAAAGTAGGCCTAGATTTTCTAGAGGAAATAAAGGGACTTAAGGAAAAGCAATGTACTAAGTCAACGTTGGGTCCACCTAACACTCACGTGTTCTAACACCTCAGCTCATTCTTTGGCACTGAGTAGTGGTTGAATGCATGTCAGTTAATGATTGATTATGACAGCTTCACAGTGGAACATACTGTAATCTCCAGATGACAGAAAAGAGTGCAGAACTGTCAGCCCAAGTTCTTCGTATAGTGACAGGAGTCAATAACAATTGAAGTTGAAATTTCCTTAGAGATTGCTATTCAGACATAATGTCATTTTATCTTTGACCAAGGTTCAAAACCTTGGTAATGTGATTATACGCCAGCCAACCACTCTAGACGTCCCATCTCCGGCAAGTAGGACACTGCTGAATGTGCCTGGGGTCTTTCCACTAGTAGACATTCCTCTAGTGACATAGTTGCCTTCATGGCAGGTAGACTTTTGAGACTTGGGTCTTCGATGCTCCATGAAGCTGACAGGCTACACTATGAGAACCTAAGATTCAAATCCAGTTTTCTCTGCCTTTGTCTTTGGAGAATAGCTTTAAATGGCTTAGACACTGATAAAATTCAGTTATGTTGTTAATGTCCATCTCTTGTTTTATGCTTAACCACATTTAAATCTAGAATTTAATAGAGTCTAGTGAAAGAATTATTGGGAACCACATCTAAATCTAGAATTTAATAGAGTCTAGTGAAAGAATTATTGGGAAGCATGAATATTGAAAGAATAATATAAAGGAAAAGGGAAAGTAAACTATTTAGAATATAGTTTTGTATTTGTAACATTTCAAAATTTATTAGTTGCATATTGGTGTCATTGTGTAGTTTATAAATGTCTATGCACTGTATTAATTAGAATATCATAAAACGTGGTAACAGCTTGACTAATGTTATTGGAGTTTTTACCACAGTTGCCATTGTGGAAGAAATATTTGTTACATTAATAAAAAACATGTTCGTAAAATATGGCTTTATTACCTTAGTGTGTAATGTGCAAGACAGTGTTTTTAGGATACAAATGCAGATGTTTGCTACTTAGGGCACTAAAATTTTATAAATTATTTATTTAATTTTATTTATTCATTCATTTGTTTTAATTTGACCCCAAAGAACACACTCGGAGGTCCAGCAGGGAAAGACGAGCATTTACTTACAAGGATGGGAAGCCCTGCCAACGGCCGGGCAGAGAATAGTCCATGCCACCATGAGCACAGGCTCACATTATACATGTTACAGATTGAAGAGTAAGACCAGCACAGACTCCCTTTCTCCAAGGCAGGCTTCTGGTTTGTTACATACATTGTTTGAGAGTGGTAAGGGTCAGGCTATTGATTAGCAAAGTTGCCAGAGTTTGTACATTAACTTAGTGCCTGTGGTCTAGGGATGCTGACAGGGAAGAGTGACACATAGCTCCACAATGGCTCCAGCCAGTTCCATGAGAAAAGGTAATGATCTTGAGATGTTCTCCAGGCACCGCCCCACTGGCATTCAGGACTCAGGGAGGTATGGCTGAAGAGGGAGTGGGGAGTAGAGCTCAGTGTATGGAGTCTACCCTCAGGTAGATATTCTAATATAAGAAAAGAAGGACTTCAGTGGGACCAGCAGTTGGCGTAAATGACTACGTCACTGGACTCCCGTGTAGTCAACCGCAGTTCACGTCCCGGACCTGGTGGCTTAAATTCACACCGGGCGTGTGTGTGTGCGTGCCCAAGATCCTGAGAGGAGAATAGAGACGGGATTGTGGTGTGGCCATCTCCCCTGAGGGGGGGGGTTGATTTCTTGCTTTCTCTCTCTGTCTGTCTCTGGTGAGCACATGCTCTCTATAGCAAAAATCTCTTTCTCAAAAAAAAATGAAATTTAAAAAATAAATTCATGGAAAATATGCGTTATGAAACTATGTGTAGAGTTCAACTTTATTTTTTAGCATCAAAATAAACTGGTACTTTAACTCCATTTTTTCATAGACTTTTTGAAGTTCTCTTATATATGGGAATTGTATTTTATTGAAAACATTGAAACATTTTTACATTTGATTTTTTAAATATCATTCCAGAGTTCTAAAAACGCAGTTTAAAAAGCATTAAAAATAGGACCATAATATAGAAAAGTAGTTAAAAAGCAGCGGTCATGTAACATACTTCAGCCTCTTACTTAGGAGTAAAAATGAGAGCTAAAAGTAGGCCTAGATTTTCTAGAGGAAATAAAGGGACTTAAGGAAAAGCAATGTACTAAGTCAACGTTGGGTCCACCTAACACTCACGTGTTCTAACACCTCAGCTCATTCTTTGGCACTGAGTAGTGGTTGAATGCATGTCAGTTAATGATTGATTATGACAGCTTCACAGTGGAACATACTGTAATCTCCAGATGACAGAAAAGAGTGCAGAACTGTCAGCCCAAGTTCTTCGTATAGTGACAGGAGTCAATAACAATTGAAGTTGAAATTTCCTTAGAGATTGCTATTCAGACATAATGTCATTTTATCTTTGACCAAGGTTCAAAACCTTGGTAATGTGATTATACGCCAGCCAACCACTCTAGACGTCCCATCTCCGGCAAGTAGGACACTGCTGAATGTGCCTGGGGTCTTTCCACTAGTAGACATTTCTCTAGTGACATAGTTGCCTTCATGGCAGGGATGTTTTTTTATTTTAAAAGAAAATTCAGGTAATCAGTTTTGCAGTTTGAATTAAATGCCAATACAGAAATGTTACGGCAAATGGGAAAGGTTCGTGGGGCAGTCGGGAAAGACCTAAAAAGTGACACATACCATGTATGTTTTTCCCATGGTAAATTAGTAGTGTATTTGCAGTAACAGGTAGACTTTTGAGACTTGGGTCTTCGATGCTCCATGAAGCTGACAGGCTACACTATGAGAACCTAAGATTCAAATCCAGTTTTCTCTGCCTTTGTCTTTGGAGAATAGCTTTAAATGGCTTAGACACTGATAAAATTCAGTTATGTTGTTAATGTCCATCTCTTGTTTTATGCTTAACCACATTTAAATCTAGAATTTAATAGAGTCTAGTGAAAGAATTATTGGGAACCACATCTAAATCTAGAATTTAATAGAGTCTAGTGAAAGAATTATTGGGAAGCATGAATATTGAAAGAATAATATAAAGGAAAAGGGAAAGTAAACTATTTAGAATATAGTTTTGTATTTGTAACATTTCAAAATTTATTAGTTGCATATTGGTGTCATTGTGTAGTTTATAAATGTCTATGCACTGTATTAATTAGAATATCATAAAACGTGGTAACAGCTTGACTAATGTTATTGGAGTTTTTACCACAGTTGCCATTGTGGAAGAAATATTTGTTACATTAATAAAAAACATGTTCGTAAAATATGGCTTTATTACCTTAGTGTGTAATGTGCAAGACAGTGTTTTTAGGATACAAATGCAGATGTTTGCTACTTAGGGCACTAAAATTTTATAAATTATTTATTTAATTTTATTTATTCATTCATTTGTTTTAATTTGACC